GGGTGATCTGGTGGCCACTTACAAGTTTATCAGGGGTGCTTATCAGGATCTGGGGAAACATCTGTTCACCAGAGCCCCCCGAGGGATGACAAGATCGAACAGTCACAAACTGCACTGTGACCTATTCAGGCTGGACATAAGAAAGACTTCACTGTCCGAGCCCCCAAGGTTTGGAATAGCCTGCCACCAGAGGTGGTTCAAGCACCTACTTTGAACGCCTTCAAGACACATTTGGATGCTTATGTTGCTGGGATCCTATGATCCCTACTGACTTCCTGCCCCTGGGGTAGGGGGCTGGACTTGATGATCCTCCAGGGTCCCTTCCAGCCCAAATGTCTATGAAATCTATGAAGCCTGAGCAGGATGGATTCCCCACTAATAAGAAATAAAAAATATATAAAACAAAATCAGTCCATCCCCCTGAATATTATGCAGGAATTTAATACTCAGTCTAACTGGATGTTGACTTTGGAAGTTTAAAAATACTAGAGGTTTAAAAATTCTAATACAGTTTGATAAATTATAGCTTTTTAGAGAACAGGTATGAAGGGTAAAATTAGTTTGTTGCTATTAGTTTCATTGGACCTAGGTTACTGCTTTTCTGTCTAGCATTTGATACCCCTAAAAAAATGTTCATTTTAATGCAAGAACTGAAATTTACTTAGGACACATTGATGGAGGAGCTTCTTCAGACTTGCCAGATGGCAATAATTGTATATGCATTGCAGTTTTGGCAAAGTTTCTCATGAATAGCAGTTTGCATTACCATGCTAATATATTGTTTTAAAAGAGTATTTACAATGAAAAAGATGATTGAGAGAATTAAATATACTGACTATTTAAAACCATGAAGCCACTTTATTTGCAGATTATCTTCCCAACTGACTTGAATATTACTGCTGAAGAAAACCACATTTTTAGAACCACTTTAACTACAGAGACTAGTGAAGTTGCACCTAGCATTTCATACGGTCCAACTGGGCACTCTTCTAGTTTCAGTTCTCCTGACTTGCCAGCTGCCATTCGTACAGCATTTGTATTAGGGGTAAGAATTTAAATTGCATGTAGCGTCTTATCTGCAAGAAGAACTTGCTATTTTGGGTGTGCATCTTCACTAGTTCTGTTAATAGGACTGCTCAGAGTATTTTCCCTCCCTTGTCATTTAGAGTACACTGAATGCAGTGTTTACAATCAGTGATACTGATACCAGGAAGTCTTCCTGTGCAGTCTAAGAGAATACTTTTAGAATTGACATAAGCAGGATCATCATCAAGAAGAACGTTTAGATTGTGATCTGTTAACTATATGTAGCTGTTAATTCAAAAGAGGTAATTATTAGGTATAACAGTCTTGTAGAAATAGAAAAGGCAATTTTTGCTGAGGCTATGATTAAAAAATATAGAGAAAGTTTATTATTAACTGCAGTTTACGGTGAATATTTTGAAGACTAATGGGAGAATAATTTCAGTCAAATTTTATTGAATGTGAGCTCCAGGATATGGGTGGAGTTCTACTATGTGAAATAATGAAGGTATCCATTAAGAAAAGTTGAGGACTTAGTTAAAGCAGTTAGTTACTCTCCTGCTACTGTAATCACTGATGACTTATGCTTGCTGAACTCCTGGAATGCAAACTGAGCAGTGGGACCTTTTAAAAAGAAGGTGGTTTCTTTTTTTATTCTTAGTATGTATAGTTTTGCTCTTTTAAAGAGGCAGAATTATATATGGAACATTCTGACATTGTATACGTATATATGTGAACTGCTTTTGCAAGAGCTTAGTCTAATTCTGCTTAGAAATTTAGGGCACAATTTCCCCTAAAATTACTTTTAAAAAAGCAGAGAATCTAAATTTATACACAATTAAGAGACTAGCATTTTTCTCCTTTCAGGAAACTACACCAGTAGAAGACCCTGTTAGTACTGTGAAATGTGAACAACAGAAGAAGTGGCTTGAAGAGCTGGACAAACAAAAGGAAGAAGCTAAATTGCGAAAAATAGAGGAGAAACGTAATTTGTCAAAGGTAACTGTAATTTAGAATGATGGTCCAGAATAAAAATATATTTGGTTTAACTTTCACTTTCTAGTTTGCTCAAATAGAAGAATATCAAATTGCAGATAACAGAATATTTACAGTTCTGTAATTAAAAGGCACAATATATTTCACAAGGGCAATTCACCATCTAGAATACTTTTATCTCTGAGGTTGGCATCACAGCTTTTGTCCTCCGCTGGGATGTATTAGCCACTGCCACTCTGGACTTCCTGTTCTGTCACTCGGCCCTCCATTAAGTCATAGTTCATTCCAGTTCTTGTGAGGTGTTAATATTCCAACGATAGGGCTCAGTTCCTCCTAACATTTTCCTTCTGTGTGCCTCATAATTCCTCCTTTTTTTAGAGCAATGAAATACAGGGTTTCTCTCTAGAGTCCCCTTCCAGCACTCAAAAAACCCCCCCCAACCACATTCAGACTAAGCTTAAATGACTTTCACACCCCTGGCTTGAACTACTAGTTCCATGTGGATTTCATTAGTTCTTAATTTTTCCAAGATATAACCCCCAAGGTTATCTTGGTGGGGAAGTGCCCCTTTCCCAAATACTAGCTCTTATCCAGTCTTCCAAGATGAATTTTTGAGTCAGTCAGAACTGTCCTTTTGAGCCTTTCCAGCCTTTTTAAGAAAAACTAACTCTGCTTTAACTTCCAATGATGCAGTTAGTTGACCTATCTCCAAAGTTAATTGAATTTTTAGGTTCCAATTAACCTTATCCCCACACCTGTAATTCTTACTGATTGGAATGTTTGGGTATCCAGTGCTTCTGAATAATCAAGATGGATTCCCTAGCCCAACGAAAGTCAGTGACAAAACTTTTATTGACTTGTACAGGTTCAGTATTTCACCCCAAATCTATATGACAGCCTAGCAAAACAAGTACCTAGGAACAGTTACCCAGGCTGAGAGGGGATCTGGTGGCTGCCTGTAAACTTGCCAAGGGGGACCAGCAGGCAATGGGAGAGTCCCTGTTCTCCCGAGCACTACCGAGGGTAACAAGGAACAACAGCCATAAGTTGACTGAGAGTAGATTCAGCCTAGATATCAGGAGGCGCTACTTCACTGTCAGGGCGGCTAGGAGCTGGAACCAACTTCCAGCTTCCAAGGGAAGTGGTGCTTGCCCCTACCCTGGGGGTTTTCAAGGGGAGGCTAGACAGCTGCCTAGCTGGGGTCATTTGACCCCAGCATCCTTTCCTGCCCATGGCAGGGGATCAGACTAGATGATCTGCTTAGGTCCCTTCTGACCCTACCAACTATGAAACTAATTCAAAAACTTTGACAGGGAAGAAAAACCTGTTCAATACTTTTTTTGATACATAAAGAGTTTGCTTCAGAGAGAAACTCTCTGGTATTATTTATCATAGTCATTTTCCCACTGAGCGAAAGGGCTTACAGCTGAAAGGGGCTATAAACAAAGACAAGATACTTGGGGAAAGGAAACATCCTGATGGTTTCAAAAATGTTAGGATGAAAAGACAGAGATTGGAGTGTGACTCCTCATCCTTCAAAGTAGTGTAGAAATACTGCTTCTTGAAATTATAATCTGAATCATGTATAAAGTTTTTTGACTATACAACAAAACAGTGTTCAAGATTTGCTGTTAAAATCTCAAAGCTTTAAAATATGTAAATTTAATTTATAGCAAGCATGAATCTATCTTCAGATAGAATATTTAAAGACTTTGCAGCTCTTGCAGAATAGAAAATCCATTGTCTGGTGGTTTCTTTCTTCTTCAGTTACTTCCCCCTGCAGTTTACATGGTCTCCTTATTATGAAACTGAAGAAAGATTAATTTGTTTTTTATCAGTAAATCTGCTTGCCTAATGAGCCCTTCAGACACCATGTAAATAACTTCTTCAGTGTTAATTTCAGTGTCTATCTTATCCACATAGTTATACAAACTAATATAATATATCCCATTATTAGGTAATGTTTTCATTTCTGTTTTATAATATCTGTGGCCTCTGCTGTTCTGGATCTAGCATTAAGATTATCAGAGAGGAATAAATGTGTAGTACAGAGGGAACACAGATTTTGTTACAGAATTTTCTTGGAGTGAGTGTCTACAGCCTGAGGCTGCCTTTTGCATTGAAAAACCATGGCTTTCACTGTAAATGGCACAAAGTTCATACAGTTTAACAAGATAGTCATGTAATTCTTGGAACAGATATTCTTCATTCTAGGAAATTCATGCTTCTCGGGTTAACAAACCAAAAAATGGCTTTTTCTAAGAAACTTGTCAGGGATGCTCACATGGTTACTTCTACTTCAGAATCCCTGACCATGTTTTTGTTCTTGATTATTAGGAAAGAAAAATTGCTTTAAATGTGATTGTTGCATGTTCTTTACTTAAAAGCACACTGTTGTGCCTACCTTTGAACTCTTGGAATTTGTAAAACTTCATTAGCTGTCCAGTCCTTTCATTTTATATTGATTCTTGTCAGCAAGTAACACCCACCAAGACATATCACAGTAATCGTTTTTCAGTCTATTTTGAGAAGGAAGATACTTGCATTAATCTTTTCTTCAACATCCTTTTTAGTTTAGACATATCTCTCTATGTTCCAGCAAAGCATACTGCAAGAAAAAATCTTTCCCTGCTCTGGCTTTTCATCCAGGTTACAGTTACAGTTTATCTTTCTTAGGGAAGAAGAAACTTAAAAACCTAGGAGAGGTGGAGGACTAGTACAAAATGAGGATTTTTTTACTTTTTGTTCATTTTAGCTTTCTAATATAGGACTGTCTTTTCTGCCAGAGATAGTTTATGCTTGTGAAAAGTGTTAAGAGGAACTTTAGATGGGATGTGGCAGTTTCTTTTTCAGACAGCAAATACTGAGGTTATACCCTCCAGTTTCTTCAGAAATACAGTGGAGAAGGATGAGATAACTTTCTGTTTATCCTGAATAAAGAGAAGGCCTACAGAGGACACCTTGGTCCTTTTGGCTTCTGTGGGTGTTATGTAAAAAATGCCTACTTGCAGAAGAACACACCTCCAGGTGCTGTTAGGAGACAGCTTGCTTTTGAAGTAAAAACAAAATATCTCCTCTGTAGAAACTGCAGGCAATGCAAGAAATATATTACCATTGCCTCTGATCAGGATCTTTGTGGTTTTTGGGAGGTCATGGTTGCCTTGGGTAAAGACACACAAATGCTGTTCCCTAAGAGTGGGCTTTTTGCAGGTCCCACCTATGCAAGGACCTTAAACATGGGGCACTCCTAGTATTGATGCAGTATTTCTTTTCAGATTGTAGAGTCTGGCTGAAGAGTTTTTAGGGAAAGGAAATCAAGAGATTCCAAATAGAAGGGCCTTACACAAAATACAGCATGCGAATTACTGTCCAGAACTAAAGTGGAGGAAATAATGGGACACTGAGAAAGATGAATAAGAGTTTGTTTTCATACATGGCTATCAAGAGAGTGTTTTTAAAAAGCATGACAGCTTGCTGCTGCCATTGTGTGTAGTGCTACAGAGAAAATATATGGGCAACAAGAGCAGGGGGGATATAACTAAATCATTAAGCAGCCTTGCAAAATTAATAGAAATATTATGAAACAGAATAATATAAATTTTAAGACCAGGTTGGAAAGAAAGCAAAATAGAAAACTCTGTTCTGTTATTTGCTTATGTTGTATGGGATGGAAGTCTTCTTGATAACTTTATTTTTTGCAGTTTCTGGATTTTTCGCAATATTTTGTGAATATTTTTAACCAAAAAGTTTTAATCTGAATGTTGGATGAAGACTTCGATCCTTTTCATTTTCCCATTTTGATTTTTTTTTCAAAAATCTAGTTGGTCTAATAAAAGATATCACCTCTCCCACAAGTTCTGATTCCTTTTGACTCCATATCCTACAGTTCCACTGCAGCACTTGCAAAGTAGCAAGTCTTGATGCATAATTTCTGTCAAAACATCACTAGAACTTAAAAATATGTAGTTGAACATACTGTATGTAACTGAATGTAATTAAATGTATTTTCATTTTCTTGTTGCTTCATACCTGTTTAGGCTGAAGAGCATGACAGATGGGCAATGCATTTTGATTCTTTAAAGAAGCACCTTAGTGCTAATCAACAACACCCCTTAAATGGAACATACAAAAAGCAGCCTGAAATTCTATGTCTGTCCCCTGACCCTAAGGAGCTGACTGCTTTTATTCATCCTTTTTCACCTGCAGCTTTAGGCCATACCCTGTCTTCAAAGGTGGATAATGTAGGGAAAACTACTGAAAGCAGTGCTTTGGAACAAAGTCAGAAAGCCAAGTGAGTGAAATCTTCAACTACAGTAGTTTTCCTAATCCATTCCTGTCTAACCATAACTTAGATTTTGCATTAATTTGTTTTTTACTCTGCTTTTTAGCAACTTGTATTTTTATTTCACATGATTCCCATTAAGAAAAAAAACACGTGTTCCTATTACTCACTAAAAAAAAAGTCTAGCATTTTTATTCAATCTCATTGATTACATTGAAATTCCATAGTACTGGGTCTGTGCCTACACTGACAGTTAAGGTTAACCTTAAGCTCAGTCACAAACCCATATATACTGGCTATTTATACTTTAAACTTGTTAGCACTACCTTAGGCTCTGGAAGAAATTCAGCCCAAGGTTGGAAGGTCACTGAACTCCTGGTAAGGAATTGATCTTGACACTGCTTACCTCCTGTTCTTTTCTGTAGTGTGTTTGGAATTTCCTGTGATCACTGTATTTTTGGAGCACAGGAAGTTGGCCGCCAGCAATCCCACAATTCCCTGTTCCTGTCTTTTGGTCCTTCTTCACTCTAGTTCCTTTTCCCATTGCCCAAAAGTAGAGATAAACCTAGAAGAATAGTTTGTAGACAGGTTCCTGGATGGACTGTGCAAGGGAATCAGTTATATATCTTAGTACTTTACTTTAAGAAGCAGCACAATGTGGACAGCTTTGGTGCAGGTTAAAGCATGATATGGATAGAAAAACATGCCTCATGATTTAAGTTGGATGAGAATGACCTCAAGGTAGATCCAAACACTCAACACTTACATTCTCTGAATAAAATTGCCACGTGATGACATGAAAATACAACCTTGATCACATGAAAATACAATCTAGCTGAGAAGTCAGAATAATTTAGGCTGTGGGATTCTTTTCTTCTTTAAATAAAAATATTTACATTTTTTCTCTGTTTGTAGTTTCCTTCGTTCAATGACTGCTCTTTTAGATCCTGCACAAATTGAGGAAAGAGACAGGCGGCGGCAGAAACAGTTGGAACATCAGGTACAATCATATTTGAAACTGATATAATTTTCAGAGTGGAAAGAATGAAAAAATGGAAGCAAATTGATGCAGTTAAGAGTAGGAGACTGGGTTCCAGAATATGTGGTTTCTAGACTCCAGAGCAGTTATTTCACCATCTGTGCTTCAGAATACCTGTTTAGACAGTTATAATGGTATTTCACTCATAGGTACAGGGTAGGGGTTTATTAATATTTGTAAGGTGGTTTAAGAGTTGCGGTATTACTATGTATTTTCAAGGCAAAAATATAAGACATCGTTCAGGACCTAAAAGTATTGGTGTACCTCTTTCCTTCAACCTCCACAGATCTTAACTAAACATAGAATTGGACATCTGTGAATGTGCTTTGTTTTCTCATTTACAGTAAAGCTGCCTTTACAGCCACTGCAGATCCTTTTATACTGCCAAAACAATATAGAGCATTTTAGTGTAAATGAAGACTGGTCCCATGTCATACACCTATTATAGCTCGGGGCGGGCAAAACATGGCCCGCCAGGCCATTCTGTCCAGCCCGTGGGGCCCCTAAAAATGTAGAAAATTAATACTTATTTGCCCCTGGAGGCTCTCAATGGCTTGCCAAAACTCAGTAAGTGGCCCTTGGCCTGAAATAATTGCCTGCCCCCTGTTATAGCTGATCTTTTTCAGGGTAAACTACTAACTCAGATTATACCAATTTCTTTGTTATCACACCAGGGAGCTGGATTCTAAAAAAAAAAAAAGAAATCCAAGTGATAGGATGGAGAGGGCATATATGTACATCGTCGTGCATTTTGAGGCTTATTTTAAAATTGTATTTTGCTTTTGTGTGCTTCTTGCTCTAAATACTTGAGCTAAATTTGCTAGAAAACTAAATTCCATTTGCTTTCTGTAATACAAAAATATTTTCTATTGTATTTAACTCATATTTTATATATAGTTTCATAGTTTCTAGGGTCAGAAGGGACCTGAGCAGATCATCTAGTCTGACCCCCTGCCATGGCAGGAAAGAGTACTGGGGTCA